TTTTCTCAAATCTCCATACTCTTGTTCTTTTTTTCTCTTCATCACCATTATGATTTCAGATCCGATTCAACCGTTTGCTTACATTACTTCGCCCTCCTATTCTCCTAAATCGAACATGTGTATCGTGACTGTGGTGACACCATATCCTCTCCCAATTACTTATTTCGTCAGATTTTCGTTGTGGATCCCGACAACCGTGTCCTCTTCAAAGCGTCCATAACTTTCCCAGCGTTTATTTTCGTCAATCATCAATCATTCGTTTCCCCCTATCTTAAAACCCATTTGGATATATTCTTCAATCTTTCGTCTCCTAATGAATGGCGGATTGTTTCATCTTTGAGTGCTAGATATGAGTGGTTTCTTATTCATCACCTAATGATCAAACTCCTTTCGCTATGTATTCCTGCCCATTTAGGATCTTTCGGTTTTTAAGAGTGAATTCAACGGACTGCGTTTATCGTGAATATTCTTAGTACTAAACCTACAACTCAACCGAACCGATTTTCGTCGAGTTTTCTCATCATTATCATGGGTAATAAAAATAATACAAATATGAAAATTATTGTGGAATAAAAAGTAGTTTAGTGTTCAATTCGAAGTAGCCATGTAACGCAGTGTCCAAGAAGGTACAAAACAACCATGAACGTTGCCCGATATTTCTACAAGACTTGATGATAAGGTTGAACAATGTACTGACTCAGGTGAGGTGCATACACGATACTGGATCTTACCATCACTAGGCTAAACGTTTCATGGTCGCCTCCTCACTGGAAGCTCATGCTAAGCAGAATACAGAAGGGCAAACGGTTTGGTTTATCCCTGGTGTTGCATGTTTTGCTAATAAAAGAAATGGTTTCACACATGATCTCAATGACAAGAGTTTCGATCGGCAGTGCTACTTAGACTACTAGCAAAGTAGTCAAATACTTTCAGTGACAAAATGCACCCAATGGATATGCGTGAAAGCGCCTCGAAATGGTTAAACAGAAGCGCATTATTGGATAAGGAAACCGTAGTCCACTTAGTTAATCACAAACCACGATAACCGAAAGTCTAAGCGACTGTTCAAAAAGTGCTGTTTCAAGAAATAAGGATTAGAATCGCATAAAGGTAGTGGTAAATTCTGATGAGCATCCGTTTAAAACGCACCTTAATACGATTTATGGGAAACGAGGGTCTTAAATTAGTAGCAGATCATCAAGTCAAATTGAACGACAGTTAAACATTATTCGAG